GGCGGCTTTGCTTAAAGCTACATGAATGGGGCAATAAACCTGACGGGCAGGCGTTTCTTAAGCCACCTGCGAACATCTGTACTTGCTCTTGTCGAGAGCAGTAGCGTATGTTATCCAAAAGAAATGGTGTTACAGACGTTATTCTTTGTGGCAGGTGCTAGGTATTTTCCAGGATTTCCTCAGGTTTTATCAAAGCCTCACACAGCAACAAAGAAGATTCCAAGCAATGTAATTCCCTCAGTTTTTCAGACAGTTGTTCTGTTGCTTATTTCCTGCCAGTGGCATTTTCCCAGATGCTCACTGTTGACAATAAATGACTTCCACAGCAAACTCTATGTCTGATACTGACTTTTAGTTACACTGAAAGTTAAGGGAAATTACAGTAACATCACGGCTTCGTGTAGAACCCTTCGTTATGAGATACCAAAGCACGTTCTGTATAAATATGTGCTCTTCCTCCATCTCTAAAATTGAATGTGGCACCAAAAACCAAACAGAAAACCTAGACACTGGAGGAAAAGAGCAGAGAGATCTGGACTAAAACACATTCTGCTTCATGAACACAACGATCACATTAAGAAACAGTAACATTCAAGTTCTACTGCACCCGCTTCCCATCAAGTCCCAGGAAAGCCCCAGGTAGTGCTGCATTCATTCAAAACAGGTTTCCCAAGGGAAAGACGCCGTACTCATTTATTACGCGTTAGCCCCCATTCAGAAATCGTTTGGATAAAGACTTACCATAAAATCCATACACTTGTGTTATCTGCCTGCTTTCATGATTGCCTCGTAACAGTGTGATACGATCAGGCCACTTAGCTTTTAGTGCAAGAAGGTAAGTGAAAGTCTCAAGACTATAATAACCTCTATCTACAAAGTCACCCTGCAAGTCAAAAAAATATTCGTAAATGGAGAAACAGTCAAATAGAAAAATGCAAAGCGATACATCCATGCTAAACTCCTCGCAGCGCGTAACAAAAGCTAACGCCGAAGGGAAGCCGGGATCTGCTTGGATCTAGGAGAATGCATTCTTTGGTCACTCGGAGTTTTGGGTTTGAGCTGGCGTGCTGCCGTTACG